GCATCCTCATCAGCATTTTGTTATTTTCTGTCTTGTTGAACTTTGTGACTAGTGCTGGGGCAAGATGGCATTTCATTGTTTTGATTTAGATCTCTCTAATGGCTAACGATTGTGAGCATTTCTTCATATGTTTGTTGGCCACCTGAATATCCTCCTTGGAAGTGTCTATTCATGTGTTCTGTTCATTTTTTAATTGGCTTATTTGTCTTTTTGTTGTTAGGGTGTTGGAGTTTTCTATAAATTCTAGATATAAGTCCCTTGTCAGATATGCCATCGCCAAATAGTTTTTCCCAATCTATAGGTTCTCTTTTGACTCTTTTGGAGAAGTCTTTGGAAACACTTAAAAATTTAATTTTTAGAAGGTCCCATTTATCTGGTTTATCTTCTGCTGTTTGTGCATTTTGGGTTATGCTTGATAGTCTATTTATGCCATATATTAGGGCCCCAAAATTTGCCCCTAGTTTTTCCTTGAGGAACTCTATAGTTTTAGGTTTCACATTTAAGTCTTTGATCCTAGGTTTCACATTTAAGTCTTTGATCCATCTGGAGTTCGTTTTTATGTATGGTGTGAGGTACAGATCTTGTTTCATTTTTCTACAAACAGATATCCAGTTTTTCCAGCATTATTGGTTTAATTTTTTGAGCAGTTTTTGGTTTACAGAACAATTGAGCAGAAAGCACAAAGAGTTCCCACACATGTTCTTTCTCCCTTGCACCATTTCTCCTATCATTAACTTCTTGCATTTGTGTGGCACATTTACAACTGATGAACCAATACTGACACAATATATTATGAACTGAAGTCCACAGTTTACCTTCAGTTTTCCTCTTTGGGTTGTTGTATAGTCCTATGGGTTTTGACACCATCTGTCTCTTTTCATAAACAATGAAAGAACTAAGTCTGGAGGCATACATAAGCTAACAAAGTACTCACAATGGAAACAAGGAAAAATGAGTGATGACAGTCTCTATGTAAGTAGCAGAAAGCTGATTTACCTTGGCCAGGTTTCTCCACCAAATCCATAATGCTGATGTCCTTTACCCATGATACAAAGAGGTTCACATTTTGGCCGGTATTCCTCAGGGAGTGAAATTGGTATTATCCCACCATATTCCCTGTCCGCGCCCCAGGGAAGTCTGCATTGTTGGAGTGATTCCCTCAATTCCTGATACCTGTGAAAAAAAGAGAAACTTTTGAAATAGCTTCAAAAATAACTAACCTTCCTATACCTTCATAATTATTTTTATATCATTGTCAGAAAACAGAATTCTCAGTGTAGGATGGACTATAATACATTAAAAACAAAACACAACAAAACCTCCTGCCATTGAGTAGATTCTGACTCATAGCAACCTATAGGGCAGAGTAGAACTGCTGCTCCATAGGGTTTCAAAGATTGTAAATCTTCACAGAAGCAGACTGCTTCATCTTTCTCTGGCAGAGCTGCTAGTGGGTTTGAACTGCTGACCTTTTGGTTAGCAGATAAATGCATTAACCACTGTGCCAACAGAGCTCCTGAACAGTACGTATGATACAGTATGATACATACTGGTTATGTAAGCAACATGGGATCCTTGAAGGAATGAGATCAAATTCTTGAAGTCCTATAGATTTTTATTTTAACTATTTTTTGAAATGGGGAACATTGTGAAGCAGAAGTTACTTGATCCTAAGTTCCACCTAGAGCTTCTTTAACAGTGGTTCTCAAAGTGTAGTCTCTGGACCAGCATCAGCAGCATCTCTTGAGAGCTTGTTAGAAATTCTAATGCTCAGGCTCCATCCCAGACCTAGGAATCAGAGTTTCTGGGCATGGGACCCAGTAATCTGTTTTAACTAGCCATGTAGGTGATTCTTCTTCTTCTAATTTTTTTTCGTTGTGATTTGGGTGAAAGTTTACAGAGGAAATTCACTTTCCATACATACAGCAGTTCACATACACTTTGTCTCATGACACTGACTACAATTTCCCACAATGCAACAGCTCCTCTTCTACTTTCTCCCCATAGTTACCTCTTCCCTGTGTTCTTCCCTCCTATGTACTCCTGCCCCACAAGCTGTCTCCCTGTGCATTCACAGCCATTCTAGTCACCCATGACTATTCTCTTCAAGGAGTGTATCTGTTGTTGTTATTATGTGCTGTCGAGTCAGATCCGACTCATAGCGATCCATCCTTGGGTTTCCAAGGTGGTATCACTACGGAAGTAGATTGCCCAACCTTCCTTCTGAGGAGTGGCTGGGGGGTTTGAACTGCTAGCCTTCTGGTCAGCAATCAAGTGCCTTAGGCACTACACTACCAGAGCTCCTAGGAGTGTATCTACCTAGTGTAAATGTTCACCTCATATG